TGATCTCAGAGAGCTGCTCCTTGGTCAGGTTCAGAGGATGATTGATGGCAGTCATTCCATACTCGTCTAGATTAGCTCCTTTGGGCAGATTTGCACGGAGAATGGCATTGTTAGCAACATTCATGAAAGCRACCATGGCGTGCCAGCCTTTGTTGTTATACCACACCTGGAAGAAGCAGCAAACAAATAAAGTCTTGTTTCCTCATCAGAACAAAATTTTTCATCCGATGAGATGAGCTGTGCAGGACTGACCTTCACACAGTTTTCAGTCTCCATGTACCTGAGGAACGTCCCAATGTCKCCAAGAGTCTGATTGGAGTATTTACCCTGAAAGGTTAGTCAATTAAAGGCAGATTGTAAGAGTAAGTACTAGTTTTAGTAAGTACTACATAGTACTATAACACTTTAATATAAAAGCTTTTAAAGCCTCACCCCTGTAATATTTAGAAGTCGTCCAAGCTGAACTGCTACATCCTGAATGGTCTTTGGCTGCACTCCTAAAACAGGAAGCTGTCCCCCCACTGATACACCCCCATACCTGGAACCACAGATCAAATCCTGCTCTYAACTGATTCTGTTCATAGCTCTGACTGCAATATAAAGTTACAACCACTAGAGAGAGCCCTGCACCGCTACACACAGTCATCTGGCTCAGAAAGAAAAGACTCATGGTCCAGTCAAAAGTCCTACAAAGAAAGTGATTTTCAKTGAACGTTGGAAATTACCTTTGTTCATTCACCCAGTATTTACTTTTCAAGCTGGTGAGAAACCACAGACAAAATTAAATTAGTTTTTATACAGAATAAAAATGTATGTTAGATCTATTGTAAACTGATGTACCTGGTTCTGATGAGACTGGGGTAGGTTTTTACCAGGTAATCAGAGATGTTCCTACCAGTCAGGTCCATTAAGACGTCTCCTGTTGACTGGATCCTCTAAAATAATCAACAAAACATCTTGTATGGAAGATCTGAGCAAGTTATTCTGCTTCAGTTTTAAATTTTATTTTATCGAAATCTGGACTGAATATTCAGTCACTGAATACTTCTGTTCTGGGTTCTGCTCTTTTGGACATGTGACCTGCTGTATAGCATCAAATCCAGGTATTTTATTGTTTTTATTTATTATTTTTCTTTTAATAAATCACCACAAATATCTTACGACTTGTTGAAGTCCACCATTCTGTTAGAAAATTCACCACACCTGCTTTATTTAAGGCTTTGAACTACTAATTTGCTAGTTATAGCATTTATCTACAGTTTTGCTGGTCTTAGCATTTATTACAGCTATTAGCTTTATATATATATATACATATACAT